GTTGTAGCTCTCTTCTACGGTAAAAATTTTTTCATCCGAAAAAAGAATTTCCCGATATTTTTTTCCCGCGTACCGCTTCAACAAAGCGCGGCATCTCTTCAGTCTCAGGTCCATTAGACGAGCATTCAAACGATGTCCTGTTTTTCTTCGATATGCCCGAAGCCCTAAGTCTTCATTTAACACCCTTTTCACCGTGGTTCTGCTTAACCCCATCTGAAGGGCCAACAGTTTCTGCTTACGTTTGGGATTTCTTTGAATTCGCGCCTTCACAGCTTTTATCACTGCTGGAGTCCTAACAGACCGAGGGCGACCACTTCTTGACCTGTCATCTACACTAGAGTCTTCATTGTATCGTTTGATGGTACGATAAACGAATCTTTTGGTTATATTCAAAATTTTCAGTATGTTAAAAATTTGAATTGGCGCGTAACCGCAACGATGCAACGCAATAACTGCAACACGGTCTTCTTTAAGCGTCCACTCCATATTTAAAAATGAGTAAAATTCTAAAAGTATACATTTTTATTTTCATGAACATTTCGAGATTCGAATTCAATAAACTTTTTTGTGGCCAGCATTCTAAAAGAAAAGTTTTTACTGTGTGACAATACTTATGACCTGACTAGTTAGTTGTCGATTGACAACTCAGTCACCGCAAAACATAAACATATGACGTAGTACAGTGCTATCTGCCCATTTCTAGCGTGCTAAATTTTATCGTCATTTCGTATGTTGCCGTGTCGCTCGAACTTGCGTATATGCTGGAAAGAAATTTTAAGGAAAGGGAGGGAAAGCTTTATGTCGGCGATAAAACGTTAGCATGTTAGTTAAGCTGTTTTGCATATCAAAACAATAGTACGTGTTTTTCTTAGACTACTTACTTCTCTATTACAATCTATTTTAATTGTGTTGCTGACTTTAAGGTCCGTAACACACTACTGCAACGCACCTCAAGGTAGGTACGCCGCACCATATTTTAAACTTATCAAGGGACTGTGTGATAAAAAAAACACCTTCAGAACATTTATTTAATTACAAACGTCATTTCTTGTGACTCCCTCTCTAAAATCACTTAATTATTACAAATTTAACGAATTTACAATAGTTTTTTACTTGCTACGGAATTAAACTATTTTATTTAAATAGTTCCGAAGAGAGATTTAGTCGGTAACCTTTTTCTCGAAATATCTAAACAGAATGTCTAAATATGTTTTGATGACACATTTTAATATGAGGTATTTATGATTGGTGTCATGATCAATAAATTCCGACCGAAAAATGGTGTCCGATTTTCGGACGAGTGCTCCATAATGAATTTAAATAAATATAAATAATAGTTTTGGGGCATCGACTTTCTTGAGATCTATAAAATATGTTTTAATTAATAATAATAATAATAATAATAATTTATTCATTTCTCTCTTAAAGGTATAGTACAAATACAAATGGAAATAAATTAACCTTATAAATTTTGTAAGCCTTTGAAAGAGCTGAAGTCTGTACTAGGTTCAAAGACCTGTATTACTGATCTCCAGGATTTATTAGAAATTATTATTTTTGTATGTTTTAAGCGGGGTAGCATGATAAAATAAGAAATTTTATATAAGCAATCATATTAAATCGATATCAAACTCAATAAATAATGTACAACCCAAAACAGACAGCTGAAGTGACGTGACGTTTGGGGGTCGATTGCTTCCCGCTTCCGTAGGTTTAACCCACGATTCCCTACAAGTGACCCCTGGGTGGTGCTAAACGGGAGCCGAATACATAATCGGTGGTAGGACCTAGTCCGACTGGCTGGCGACCACCCTCCAACTAGAGTCCGCCGCCAAATAGCCTAGCTGTGTTCCGGCGTGTGGGTTGGAGAGCCAATTTTATTCCTTCCCTTTCCTCTTCCTTGTTCGGGGTGAATCTTGATGATACTTGGAACATGCGGAGCAGACGTGCGTGCAAGCTCGCGGGACGTGATTGTTTGACGGGGGTATAGGGAGACCCAGTGAAACGGTGTTCGCCGCCGCCCGCCGGTCAGTTGGGGACCTGAACCTGGGTGTCACTACTAAACTCCGCCCCGGGAAGCTGTCCCGCCAACCGGTGTAAAATCCTGTCGTGCGGTCGTCGTGCCGGAGTCGGAGACCGGAGTGGATCCCGGCGATCGCACACAGGGTGGACTGGGGGCCCTTCCATGCCCTGCGTCAGTCTCTCACGCAACCCGTGGTCAAGCACGTACTGTGTTCCGCGCTTTATTCAGGTATTGTCATGATTTTGCCTCGAACTTCCTACCCCACCCAATCCCACTCTCCAAAAATAATAATAAAATGACAGTTAAAAAAAGGAAAAGGGTTTTGTCGGCGATGCCCCATTCCACATTTAATGTGGATTTCAGCAATGTAAGGGGCCTACATAGTAACCTCGACGCCGTACACCACCATCTTGAGACGGCGCAGCCTGCCCTCCTTTTTCTGACGGAGACACAGATATCTGCTCCGGATGACACTTCGTACCTTGAATACCCCGGCTACGTATTGGAGCACAACTTCCTGCGTAAAGCCGGGGTGTGTGTATTCGTCCGGGCTGATGTCTGTTGTCGCCGTCTACGAGGCCTCGAACAACGGGACCTGTCCATCTTGTGGCTGCGCGTAGATCACGGGGGTTGTACCCGAGTCTACGCGTGCCTGTACAGGTCCCACAGCAGTGATGCAGGTTCAGCTCTGATAGAGCATGTGCAAGAGGGGACTAACCGCGTGCTTGAGCAGTACCCATCTGCGGAGGTGGTGGTTCTTGGAGACTTTAACGCTCACCACCAAGAGTGGTTGGGGTCCAGAACCACNTCCAGAGATCTTTTTTGCCACGTACCATCCGGCTATGGAATGAGCTCCCCTCCACGGTGTTTCCCGAGCGCTATGACATGTCCTTCTTCAAACGAGGCTTGTGGAGAGTATTAAGCGGTAGGCAGCGGCTTGGCTCTGCCCCTGGCATTGCTGAAGTCCATGGGCAACGGTAACCACTCACCATCAGGTGGGCCGTATGCTCGTCTGCCTACAAGGGCAATAAAAAAAAAAATGGTGCGCTAAGCATGGCGGATTTTCGGCCTCATTAGACATTTACGTATGTTCATGTTTCATTTTATGTACGCACTGAAATTGTTATATTGTTTTCCTGTGAGTTACAGGGCTGAGTAAGAACGAGATAGATATATGTTTATGTGTGTGCCTTCAAAATGGGTGCTATTTGTATAAGCAATTGTACGTATAGAACAATATGTCGCCTCCCTACTTTAAAGGTCTATGGTTTATACTGTCTAATTCTAACACTGGTCACTCACATGCGCACGAATACACAAACCCACAAGTGTAGGACGACATTTGCGAATGATTATGCAAAGTTTTCGCAGCATTCGTGGTTTTCCAAGCTGTGTCGGTTTTTTAACAGACATCAAAGCGCGCGAACCTCGAACCTTCGCGTAGTCTCCCACACATTCGCTTGCCCAGTTGCGCCGACGATTGCGAAGGTAACGGACGTATACTATACGCCATTTTCATAGTTCGTGACATCTACTGTGTAGCGTATCTTCATCAAAAGAAATCCCATAAAAACAGCATGGCTGTTAATGATGTCTGGGAAAGAATTAAAAACTATTTTTCTCTTCAATGTTCTATTGACGAATTAAAAAGGAGGAGAAATTCGTGAGACATTCGTAAACAAGTGTAGGAGGAAGCGCAAACGGGTTCGCAAATTGAGTATGCGAACCCATTTGCACAGCCGCTAGGTTTGCGAATGAATGTTTGACGGCCCTTCACATNTAAAAACTATTTTTCTCTTCAATGTTCTATTGACGAATTAAAAAGGAGGAGAAATTCGTGAGACATTCGTAAACAAGTGTAGGAGGAAGCGCAAACGGGTTCGCAAATTGAGTATGCGAACCCATTTGCACAGCCGCTAGGTTTGCGAATGAATGTTTGACGGCCCTTCACATGCGCGCAAACATTCGTACAATGTACGAATATTTGCACGCATGTCAGTGGCCGGCATAACTATTTCTTAAGTAGATCAAAAAAATATGTCGGTGAAGACAGCTAATTAGTCTTTAAGTATGATTAGCGCGGTTTTAATAAATTCAGTTATTTTTAATGATATTGATTATTAACAAGCATGTAGAAATTTCAAAGATTTCTAATTATGAATATTTTAGGAGTACAACTTTCGTGTTAAAATGATACTATTCATTACCATGCAATAGGAAATAGTTATGATACTTGTATTTTATGATAAAATTAATAATTGCTAAATTCATTACGTTACTCAAAAAACTAGCCGCGCTTTAACCGCGCTAAGCGTACTTTAACGACTTATTGGCCGTCTTCACTGATATTTTTTTGTTGAAGTATTGTTGAAGTTTTCAATATTTTTATGATCTACATACGAAATAATTAGATAGTATAAACGCACTTGTTAACAAAACGCTAGTAAATACGGCTATTGCCAGCTGTCTGACAAAACCGGCGCATGCGCAATGTAGGCGTGAGATGATGGTTTGCTTAATAATTTTTTTTAATTAATTATAAATAAGAGACGAACAAACAATTTTTACATACAAACATTAACGAACAAACGACGAACAAATAATTAAAAATAAATAAAATCCGAAAATAAAAAAAGAGGGGCCAAATTCAGTCTACGCTCGCGTGGTTTATTGTATATAATCTATACTTTCTAGTTAGTTTAAATACCAGGGAGGACTTTTTGGCGGGAAAGCGAGAAGTGAAGTTGTGTTGTTGTTGGAGTGAAGAAAGCCGCTGGACGTAACTTCTCGGGATCCTCCAAAAAGTCCACTAAAAAAATCTTAGTAAATAACCACCATTTTACTGAGATTATATTTCATCCCATATCATCTCATTTCATTTCATTTAATTTCATCCCAGTTGAATAATGTCTGAAATTAATCATCTTCATTTCATTTCACTACATAATTTCATTTTTCATAAAAATATGAATATAAATTAAAATAAGATATGACTTAAAGGTCTCAGTTACCAGGTCATAAAATCTCTTAATAAACTAGATTCCAGGCCATAAACTCCATAAAAAAAAAAAAAAAAGTTTGATAAGCCGGTCCATGGAGTTAATAAGTTAGTAACTCTATGTGCCGGTCATTTACATTGTACGAATGTTTGCGCGCATCTGAAGGGCCGTCATACATTCATTCGCAAACTTAGAGGCTGTGCAAATGGGTTCGGTATTCAATTTGCGAATCCGTTTGCGCTTCCACCTACACTTGTTTACGAATGTCTCACGAATTTCTCTTCTTTTTTAATTCGTCAATAGAACATTGAAAAGAAAAAGAGTTTTTAATTCTTTTCCAGGCGTCATTAACGACCATTCTGTTTTTATGGGATTTCTTTTGAGGGTCCCATATGGTCGATTCATTTTGCAGGAGTTCAATGAACTCCATCACCTTGGTGTTGTTCCAAATCCATGATGAAGGTACGCTACACAGTAGATGTCACGAAAAATGAAAATGGCGAAACGTCCGTTACCTTCGCAATCGTGGGCACAACTGGTCACACGAATGTGTGGGAGACTACGCGAAGGATCGCGGTTCGTGCGCCTTGATGTCCGTTATAAAACCGACACAGCTTGGAAAACCACGAATGCAGCGAAAACTGCATAATCATTTGCAAATGTCGTCCTACACTTGTGGGTTTGCGTATTCGTGCGAATGTGAGTGACCGGTATTAGTGTTGTTCCAATCCATGATGAAGACACGCTACACAGTAGATGTCACGAAAAATGAAAATAGCGAAACGTCCGTTACCTTCGCAATCGTGGGCACAACTGGTCACACGAATGTGTGGGAGACTACGCGAAGGATCGCGGTTCGCGCGCCTTGATGTCCGTTAAAAAACCGACACAGCTTGGAAAACCACGAATGCAGCGAAAACTTTGCATAATCATTTGCAAATGTCGTCCTACGCTTGCGGGTTTGCGTATTCGTGCGAATGTGAGTGACCGGTATTATAGTCTTACATCTTTTTCTTTTACATGGTGATACTACTGATGGCTCGGAGGGTAATGGAAGATGATTAAACGTTGCTAACTGCCTAAGCTCCACAAAAGAAGGCCTAAAAACTCAACTCAAATCTGGCGAGAAATTCAGCGGAGTGGTGCTTTAAACTATTTAATGTTGAACTCTTTATCGAATAGCATTACTCACATAAGGATGTACAAATTTCCCAAAAATAAAGACGTTGAAAATAATTTGAAGCCTTGAAGATAACCCTGTTTGGAATATGTAAACGGCAGAGCCAGTAAAGGAGTATTGTTTTTTGAAAGACATGACACCAGTTCATAAGGTGCTTTTTGCGAAGTAGGCACAGTGAGAAACTAATTGATAAGATGAAGAATTCACTATATAGCCTAAACCTGTCTTTCAATAACCACTCCCTACTGGTAAATAAAAAAAGATCTTCGGTGGATAAAAAAAGATCTTGAGGATGATAGATATAATAATTTTATATTATATTTTAAAGGCTCTACAGATGCAATATCTTTTTACGGCTTAGAGGCAATTTATAATCGACGACAGTTTGTTGAAGTAAGGCAAGACTATGTTGAAAAATAAAATTTACTGTGATTTTATATGAATTTTAATACATTGGCCGCAAATATGTTCATCCTTTCCTCCATATAAGAGGATGCTATATAAGCAGCATTCCATAGTAATACTTGTCTTGTGCCTGAAATATTTAATTAAAACTTAAGGACCCACGAGTAGATTATTAAATACGATCTTAAGTTCAAATTTAATGCTTCTTGGAATATTGTTGTTTGGAAATCATATTGGTATCGTCCCTCTTAACGAAATTGCTTATATGTAAACAAACGGATGATCTATCTAAAAAAAGGTTTTCATTAAAATTAAAAGAAGGCTTGACCTAAAAGGTCTTTGCAACCAGGTCACAAAATCCTATAAAAAAATTAAGTAAAGATTGTGTTTAGGCTAATCATATTTTTCATGATCGGATACAGATACATGCCGAAACCATTATTAAAGCAATTAATTTAAACTATCAATAAGCTATCAATTTAATTTAAGAAAATCGCGTTATTCTGAAATGGAATGCTCTATATGACTGGTGTCTTAGAAATTATAACGTGTTAATTGTTTGCTATCCCCGGTAATCATGTCTGTAAAACGGCAAGCCACGACGGATTTGAACCATGAAAATTGGGATCAAGAAGATCCTGAAGAAAATAAGGAGATGGGAACTTTTAAAGCTGCACCCAAGGATATACTGGAAAAGCGTGTTATTAAAACAGCAAAAAGACGAACGACGGCCCCTACTGATGAGGTTAGCTTGTTTACCATTATGAACATAATATCATATTCTATACCCGTCGTGAGTGTGTAACAATATTACACATTTTATTGCAATGTCATTTTCTCTAAAATGAAATCATTAAGCTCAGTGAAATTTTCAATTGTAATAATATTTGAGAACCGAGTACTAAATGAATGTGTATGCTTAATATTTTATATTTTCCTTTTTAATTTTCAGAATAAAAAGACTCAAGGGCTATTCAGTGGTTTTGGTGCATTTAATAAGGCTCCATCTTCATTTGATTTTCTGGCAAATTTGACTAAAGATAGTAAAAGTAATGCTACTACAACAAGCGCTGAATCCGGATCTGCAGGATTGTTTTCAAACAAATTGTCGAATGACTCTGGTAGCCTATTGAGTCCCTCTTCTGCACCAATTAACACACCCTTAGGAACATCAACATCTCAAACACCTACTCTATTCAGTAGTGCTACAAGCACAGTTACATTTTCTTCTGTGTTTACAACTACCAAAGCAGGTCCTTCTGCTACTGATTCTCTTTTCAAAGTACAACCTACTTTGAGTACAGCCACTACTGCAGTTCTAAATGCCACAAAAACTACAACGACACCAGTTCCAAATATACAGGCTACATCTAGTATTTTTGGTGTATCACAAAACAATACAGTCAGCAAATCCTTGTTTTCAACGACAAATAACAGTTCCTCAATTTTCCAAACACAATCTACACAAAGTCCCTTAAATGATGCTACCTTTGGAACAAATAAACAATCGAATACAAACATCACTCAAGGAACTGAAAAAAAAGAGGAACAAGGTGACAAAAAATTAAAATATTATGCTAAATTGAAAGGCTTGAATGAATCTGTATCAGATTGGATTAAAAAACATGTGGATGAAACACCTTTATGCATCTTAACACCTATATTTAGAGACTATGAAGCATATTTAAAAGAAATACAGGAAGAGTATCATGGACCAGATGGTGATTGCTCTGAAATTGAGACAAAAAAGAATGTTAATTCAGAAACAAAAAATCCTGTTGAAAAATCAAAAAATGGCATTTTTTCTGAATCGAGCAGAGATCTAACAGTGTCAGGATCATCAATATTTAAATTAGATCCATCTAAACCATTTTCAACCACACCATTAAGCAGTTCTTGCAATATGCTTGGAGACAAACCAAAAGGATTTTCTTTTGGTATAAATACAGCTACAAGCACTATAAATAGCATTCCAGCAATAAGCACAGGGTTCTCTTTTGGGACTTCGTCCACAAATTCCAATAATATACAAACATCAAATACCTTTTCTTTTGGATTAAAGTCTAGTCCGTCTTCTGATGGTTCTCCTCTCAAATTTGGAGCCCCATCATTAACTTCTACCAATACAAATAACACAGAGCCCGCAAATCAGGAAGATGAAGATGTACCTCCAAAAGTAGAATTTACACCAATTGCTGAAGAAAACAGTGTTTTTGACAAGCGCTGTAAAGTATTTGTGAAGAAAGATGGTAATTTTGTGGATAAAGGTGTTGGAACACTTTACATAAAAAAAATCGAAAATAGTGACAAACATCAACTACTAGTCAGAGCAAATACTGCTTTAGGTAATATACTACTTAATTTGAGATTGTCTGCTGGTATACCTACACAAAGAATGGGTAAAAATAATGTTATGATAATATGCATTCCTACACCTGACTCTAAGCCTCCTCCCACCTCTGTATTAATAAGAGTCAAGACTCCAGAAGAAGCAGATGAAGTCCTTGAAACTTTAAACAAGTATAAAGCATAAAATTGTTCTAACGCTAAATAATCCATATTGATGTCATGTAAAGTTATTTATTTTTAAATTTCTGGTTAAGTATTATAATTAAATCAAAAGAAGCAATCTACTTTGTAATTGCCATATAAAATTTCTACATAAAGATTACATGGCCTATAATTTAAATTAGTATATTTAGTACACAGAAAGTATGGTTAACATACAAAACATCATTAACAGTATCTAGGATGTTCATTGGTAGATAATGTATTGGACTGTAAAAATAAATATAATCATGAATAGTGTTTGCTTATTGTAACTTTGGGTAAATGTTGATTTGCAGAGTATGAACTATGGCAGTCTACATTTATTACATGCTGATACATGACGTTGCTATTGTGAAGACTGTTCTGCTGGGTCTTGAGTTTATATATTCCACAGTGATTCATGTAGTGGTGTGTTAGAGATTGATACTAAATATATCCATTCTTTATCACTATACATCAATATAGCTAATCTAAAATACAAGTCAAATTGCTTGCAATATCTACAAATTAGTATTAATTCATTATCTTAAACCTAAAAATAGTTTTGTATATTTTTGTTTGAAATTGGTATATTTGCATATTCGAGTTCATTGATGTGAGTTAAAGTAGTAAGTTGACATTTTGTAGTTGCCTGCCACTTCAGGGAGAATTATCGTAAATTAGTATAATTGGTACCATTAATTACATATACGTATTATTATATAGATATTACTTAAAGACCCAGACACAAAAAAAAATGGGTTCATCACCAAAGTCTGCTAGGAATTAAACTGCTACTTCCCCGTAGCGCGCTATATACCTATAAGGGGCGCTAATTACTGCGCAACCCAATCAGTGATATAAAACTCTAATGATCAATAAAACACTGCTCTAAATATGATTAAAAAATTTCGGGTTTTTTTTAAGGCTTAAAAGTCTTAAATCTCATATAATGTAAACTATAGTCTTACTCAATTGACAAATCCAGGGCTTATAACCGTTGAATACCTCTTCAAACTTAGTTTGAAGTTGGGCGCTAGCTTGGCTTAACTTTCAACATTTTTTATTGCTAAGGTGTGTGGACAATCTCAGGGCCGGCTATTGTTTACTGGTCACTGGAGCCCATAGACATCAACAACGTAAATGCCACCACACAGCTTAAAAGTTATAGTTTTAATTTTAAAGTACAACGGCTGCCCACCTTTCAAACCGAAACAATGCATTGCTTGTATCACGGCATAAATAGGCAGGTTGGTGGTAAAAAATACCTGTGCGATCTCACAAAACACTACAACCAGTAATTATGCAATTTTAAATTTTTGTGTGGTCGATTTTATTACACAATGTTATTCCTTCACCGTGGAAATCTATCTTGAACATTTGTTAAGTAGTTACGTATTTAATCAGAAAAATTGGTCCCTGCCATGGACTCGAACACCGGGGCAGTCGCATCGCTAAATACGAATGCACCGGGTGTCTTATCCCGCAGCAGGACACGCCTTCCCAATGTTCACAACACCATTGTAAACATTAACTCGATATTCCAGAGCTTGCAGAAACTCTCGGATAATTCTAAATCTTATTCATAGCCAACCTAGAATTTCACCTTACACATAAATTTCAATAGCTTCTAAATTACATTACGAAGCGAATGCATTCCTCGTGCATACACATAAGCTTACCGTCGCATGCTTATGCGAACCATGTGAAACGCCAGTGTTACTGGGTATTGTAATGAAGCAGTACTAGCTATCAAGAACGGCTTTAATGCTTTGCCCTTCCGATTAACAACATATTTGTGATATTGGGAAACCATATGATAAATTAGGGCGTCAGCGCAAGTTTTTTTTTAGTTTTTTTTATTGCCTTTGTAGGCAGACGAGCATACGGCCCATCTGATGGTAAGTGGTCACCGTCGCTCATGGACGTCAGCAATGCCAGGGGCAGAGCCAAGCCGCTGCCTACCATAAAGTACTCTCCGCAAGCCTCGTTTGAAGAAGGACATGTCATAGCGCTCGGAAAACACCGTGGAGGGGAGTTCATTCCAAAGCCGGATGGTACGTGGCAAAAAAGATCTTTGGAAACGCACTGTCGNAAGCCGCTGCCTACCATAAAGTACTCTCCGCAAGCCTCGTTTGAAGAAGGACATGTCATAGCGCTCGGAAAACACCGTGGAGGGGAGTTCATTCCAAAGCCGGATGGTACGTGGCAAAAAAGATCTTTGGAAACGCACTGTCGATGAACGCAGCGGTTCCAGATAATATGGATGAACCCTGCTCCGATGGCGGGAGGTGCGATGATAATAAGGAGATGAGGGGATCATCTCGAATAATTCCTCAGAGCATTCCCCATGGACCATGCGGTATAAAACACAGAGATCCGAAGTCCCTCCGTAGACCCAGAAGTTCCAAGCGATCCGCGAGAGCAGGACTATCGACCATCCGAACAGCCGTTTCTGTATGGAGTCAAATGGAAGTAGCTGGTATTTGGGAGCCCCGGCCCAGAGGTGAGAGCAGTACTCCACGCGAGGTCTGACCTGCGCTTAATAAAGCGCAAGTCTCTGTCCAGGCGTGAAATACCGCTTCGCTCTGTTGAGGACTCCCAACATTTTAGAGGCCAATTTGGCTTTACCTTCCAAATGACTCCGAAACTGGACATCGCTCGAAATATCGACCTCCAGAATCCCGATACTCGCGGAAAGCTGCAAGGATACTCCTTGAAATTCCGGCGCCATGACAAAAGGGTCCTTCTTCGCAGTGAACCTGTGCAGTGACCTAAGCGACCATAATTAGTATGGAGATAATGAAGTTTGAATTTACTTTAACACTACTTCGTAAGCAAAAATAATAGGTGCCAAAATAATGTTTACAAAGCCATCTGTTATCTGTGAGTGAAACTAGGGATAGGCCGGTTTTGCATCAAAATTTATTAAATTTTAAATAAATTGCAATTAGCACGAATATGAAAAATTGTTGCGCTGATGGCCTCAATTAATTTAATAAAAATTTCCAAAAAACTCATGCAATTATATTATATTTACAATTCACGAAATTATATTTACAATTCACAATCTACATCATACATTTTATATTTTTCAAACTTACATATTTTATGTACCAGTTATCATTTAAAATATGATTCATTTTGTACAACAGTCTGATATACAGTGAAGTATGTTTTTGTTGCATATGATTTTTTTTTATATATTCATTAAATTACAAAATCAACAATAATAAATACTCTTTATATAATTTTATAATATAAATAATTTTATGTGCCTGCAGAATATTCAAAAAGCATTTGCCCCAATCCCATCTGAATTTTATGCATATGTATTTCAACATTATTTTGAAATAATCTGTGATATTGTGGTTTTAATTTCATCTTGATCTGATCCATTGTACCTTGAAGTACACTCAGTTCATAGGCATTCTGATCTGAATCAGATAAACTTCTAACTTGCAACATGAGTGCAGTTAGATCTGTTATGAGATCTAAAACTGAAGGATCTTGAATAACTCCATTGTTATTCTTCTCAACAAGAACTGAAGCTTCTTCATGACATTTGTCTCGAAGTTGTGATGGTGCTAACATTGCAGCCAAACATGGCCCTGGAGCAATTTGTTGACAATGATGTTGAATCTCATTGATATATTCTTGTAAATCCATATTCATCCTTTCTAACTCAATCACAACAGCAGCATATTTTCGTTCAAAGTCTTCAGGCATCCTCTGTCCAAAGGACTTTCTTTTTTCTGCCATACAGTTATATTCTTTTAATTTATTTATCTTGCTCTTTTTAGCATTTAATAATCTTCTTAATTTTACAATGAGTTCTAAAAACCGGAATGGGTAACTACCAATTACAGAATTAGCTTGATTTGCAAGATCAGAACATCCAATCAAAGGATCTCCTTGCGAATTTTTCTGTATTGGTGAATACAAACTGAGTAGATCTTGAATTACTTTTCTTGGTCTAAAACGTTGCGTTATACTTGTCAGACAAATAGTATCAGGTGGTTCATTTGACAATACTTCATAATCAGGTACTGAATGTGTGCCCAATTTAGGTCTTTCAAAAGTTATCCTATATGTGTTATTAGATGTATCAACAGCATCGATGCATCCAGTGAACAATCCATCCTGTGGTCGACGTAGTCTAGCAGTAACTTTAGTACCAACTACTAATTGCATTGGTATTTCGGTTGGTAAATCTTTGACACACACATCAGCCGATTTTTGCTGTTGTACATATCGAATCAATTTCCTCTTTCTTTCCAATTCTTTCCGCTCCTCATCAAAAAATGCTTGAGAACATCGTCGAGGCTTTCCCATCATTCTTCTGATTTTTGACCATTGTGTTCTAGTTAACTTTCTGTTGGTCAATTGTGGAAATGATTCTTTTAAGCAAATCATAAAATCATTTTCACCATCAAATAATACTTTATCAATATTACTATAAAAGTATTCAAAACACACCCACTTGTGAGCCTTGGGTAGCTTCAATAAATTTCTAAGTCGCATGCCAATTCGATGACCTGATTTATTGTCTTGCATTTGGATGCCTACAGAATCTACCTTATCATTCCTCTCTGTAGCCTTTTGAACTTTTATTGGAGATTTTTGTTTTTTTGCACTTGGTGGTTTATTAGGCGTTTTGTTAAGTATTTTTGGAGTCTTTTTTGGAGACTGTCGTGGAGGTGACGTGTTCACAAAATCGTCAACAAAAATGAACCTATTTTTCTTTCTGATCCTAGCGGGCATTCCCCTTGCATTAAGTTTTTGAACTGGCTCACTTGGAGCTGGTTTTGGCGGCAATTTTGTACCAACTCTATGCAAGCCCAATGCTGCAGGTCCGAATGCTGGAGGTTCTTCTTCTTCTTCTTCCGGAAAATCCATTTCCATTGGCTCATCTTTAACCTTTTGGAGTGATCTTGGTGGAGTTGATAATTCGTCATACTCTCCTGAAAGTAACAATAGTAATATTTATGTATGTACTACAAAATAAATAAATTATACATTATTCAAAATACGTATCGATTGCAAAGTAGATTTTGATTAGAATTCTAAATTTCAAGTAACTTGCAATGACATTCTGTACAAAATTTGAATTTTTTCAAATTTTGAATCGAGCGAAACCTAAATTTAAAATAACAAATAAATGAACGCGATTCGCTGTCTTGCATGAAGCCCATCTCTTCAAGTATATCTTATACTCGAACTGTAAGTTTAATTTAGAGGGTTTTATTTACCAACTCTTTCAATAAAAACGAATTTATTAACTTACTTTCTGATTTATCCGCCATATTGATGTCGATTGTGATTTGTTACTTTGAGTGCTGAATGGCTAGAATTCAAGCGCCAACACTGTTACGTTCGGATATACCAGAAACGTGTGCATCGGTGAAAGCTGCAAAATTTCAAAATCAGATGCAATACCTAAAATTAAATTTCGTTTGTCACATCAAAATGTATGGCAAACGTTTTCTATGAAGCTTTCGAAGTGGCCCTTTANTATTGATGTCGATTGTGATTTGTTACTTTGAGTGCTGAATGGCTAGAATTCAAGCGCCAACACTGTTACGTTCGGATATACCAGAAACGTGTGCATCGGTGAAAGCTGCAAAATTTCAAAATCAGATGCAATACCTAAAATTAAATTTCGTTTGTCACATCAAAATGTATGGCAAACGTTTTCTATGAAGCTTTCGAAGTGGCCCTTTAATTAAATGAATGTATTATGTATTTTAGCGTCGTTTGTTGAACCGCACATTTTCGCTGCTTCACCCTTCACCACATCATGTGTCTTTTAGACAGCTAATTAACTAATTGACTATGTCCCTGGTATTGATGACGTCCATGAGCCTCTGTGATCACTCACCATCAAGTGGTATAGTGATGTATGTTTCCAAACAAAGAGAAAATCTAACTCATAGTGTGTTCATCAGAACAGAGTTTTGGGCCGGAATTTATTTATTAAGTAAATTGGAATAAAATCATTGAATGTGACTTCTTGGGTTCTTCTAAAACTGCATTTAACTATCAGTAAATTAGCGACATTTTAATAACAGATTATTTCATTTCATCTCACTAACGGCTACACTTTTTTAATTTTTTAGCTATTTTTACTTTATCCAAATATAAAAAGCTTAGCTCGATTTTACTTTTTGTACAACAAAAATGGCCTTCATTATAAAAGATTTGGCAGCATATACTACGTTCCCTTCGATGACAAATCGAATAATGTAAAAACGTCAAATACCACTGTGCTGTGACCACAAATCATAAAATATAAATACTGTCACAAAAAATGGAAATTTGAAAGTTCGTCGAGAAACATAATTATTAGTTACATGCATGTATTAATATAGTATTTACTTGCAATCAAACAATTGCTTGTACACAAAAATGAAACTCGAAGTATTGTTGACAACTGTGCTAGCGATAAGTTACCTTAAAGTTGAAATCAGCTGTAAGTTTCAATGTATTTTGTAACACGGATATGATTCAAGGTGAAGTGAGAGTTTATTAATGCTGAACTAAATAAAGTACTACGTATGAAATATCATATCGAGTTTATTTTGCGCAAATGAAAACTTAGCAACAGTATTCTAATATTATTAACAATAATTGTCATTTGAAAAAGAAGCAAACAATCCCATGCCAAATATTTATACCAAATTCTTTTCCTTGAAATCATAAAATTTTACGGGTTTTTTTATACTTAACAGGTTTAAGTAGGAGATGTATACAGTGTAGATCTCGAGGAGAGCTTGGTTCATGTGGAGACCCTCTACCCTTTAATATAAGTGACCCTGAAGCAGAACACGGTGTGCATATTACTGCTTGTCCATCTGGATGGTGTGCCAAGAGAATTCAGGGAACCACTGGCACATTTAGAACTGATGGTATGTTTGAAATGAACCTGTAATAATAAAATATGATTAATTGGAAAAAAATAACAAAATCTATTTGTTTTAACTTTGTATTATAAAAAATAAATACACTAATTTTAAGGTGTTTTTCATAAAATTAAGTAAAACACTTATTCAAGATTAGAATGAAGTACATATTAAATAACCTTAGACAAACTTTAAATAATGCAAATGCACTTTAAGAAGAAGATGACAAAACTACTTGGATTTTTTTAACAAACATTAAATGCTTATCATAGTCCATATTAGTTCTTCCATAGCTGTGGCATACATTAGGCTCATTTAGAATTTTTACCTCTGCTCTAATTATTTATTCAAAGAGTTGTCATACATTTCAATTAAAAAAAATAAAAATCTATTATTTTAACAAGATTAAGCCACTGAAATTTCTCTTTTGCTTAAAGCTGATTGATTATCTAGAATTTGTTGTCTCTTCGTATCACCTGTTGTTGGATGATTGGCAAATTTGCCTGTTTGGACCAAAATTTTGTAAAGTTATAACTTCAGGGAGCTTCACCACATGAGGAGTGGGCCTCAGTCTTCTCTATATAACTAAATTATAGAATTATTATGCTAGAAAAAAAAAAACAATTAAAAATAGCAGTAAATCTCATTCATAGGTGCTAAATAAAATAATACACAGGCAAAATTGAGTTATGATTTATCTATGTTGAGAAACGAAAACTTAAAACTGTAAATTTGTTTTAGATTATGGTGCGGTAACAGAAAGGTCCTGTCTTCAACAGCCTCCTAGTGATTATGAAGAAAGATGTGCGTATACCATGTGGAAATATAAAAGGGTATATGTATGTTTCTGTAATGGTGATTTGTGCAATTCAGCTCCAACAATGAAGATGTTTTCTCCTGTATTATTACTCAGTATTTTTATCTTCATAAAGAATTATATTTATTAATCCACATTGATAACTTTATCTTCGATCTTATATTATTGTTAATTTTTTCTTTTATTATCCACAATACTCAGTGTCCAGGAGCTGATCCAAGAATGAATCTCTGTTGTAATTTTATTTAGTTTTCAGTTATGTGTGGTAGCTCACCTGGTATCAATTCTACTTGGGCATGGCCTAACATTGGCAAATCAGGGTCAGAATTACTTTAGTGCGAAGTTAAAATTAGTAAATAAGAGAAAGATAATACTGATACAGACAGGTAATTGAAACTAGTAGTTGCTTAAGGTAACATTCGATCCATTACTCTATATAATAATATTCAAGATAATTTTATTGCAATTTATTTTACTTTATATTTATTTTATATACAAATGTATTCAAAGTTAAACTATATCAATCAATTTGTACTATTAGTCTTACGTCTACGTACATTAATATTATAAATAAGATGTTTTTGCTAAAATATAAACTTATTTTGATTGGAATTTACAGCAAAATCACAATATTAATCTTAGAATTTTTTATTAGACAAATATAACTTGTTTATATTTATTAGGAATATTTGGAAATTTATCCGTTTTATATTTTAAGCCTGCTATGGCTTCTTCCAATGACAGGTTTACCAGATTAGATTTATGTTTATGTGAAAATATATACTGTAACATTCCATTAAACTATATTTTGAAGAAAAAAAACATAGGAGATTAAAAAAATGTGCATCATTCATAATGATTCCGTCCATTGTTGTGTATTTTTAATTGATTTATGTGTTCTGCAACTGTGATTAGTTACTATTGTGACGTAATCTAGTATGTAATGAAATAAAATTCTCATGATATGCTACCTGTAACGGTTTAAATCTGTTATATTGGTACTTAAATTATTAATGAACATGTTCATAATTGTAACTGCGGTATTATAAACGACATTATGTACCTTAGATTTATATAATATGTACTTAAGAAGGATCAAAGTATCACTGCCTACGCGTTACGCATAATAGTTTGTGTACTCAATGTAATATATTTTATCTATACTCCTATACACACTGCGAGCACTGTAAGATGTGATGTCAATTTAGTATACTGCCAAGCCATTGCTTTATAGTCAGTTAGCTATACTGTGTGCTTAGTGCGAGCTTTTTAACGTTCTCGATAGGGTATAAGTTAACTCAAATTTGTTTGCAATTAAAACAGCGCTCCTAGCGGCAAACGTTCTAACTCCATACAAAATTGAGTTAACTTCTACGCTGTAGAGAACGTTAAAAAACTCGCACTAAGCATACTGGTTACTGTTTAAAAGGAAACGCAGTACGGTATACTGACATTGACGTCTTTGGCGTTGTTTACACTTCAACAAAAAAAAAAAGGTTTAAATTTGGATTAATTTAAAAATTGAATAATCAAGTTATTGTCAGTTGAATGAATTGCATAATAAAAGTATATATACTTTTTAGTATAAGAAAATATTCTTTTTGAAGCAACGTAATGTATAATAATTTAATCACTAAATTATTGAAATGAGGTTATGCTCGGTAAGGGTGATCACGTAATAAAAGCAGAGTACCTTACCTCAGGAACATCAGTGCTTACAGTTGAAAAATGGCCATTATCTATGACATCACATATTTCTTTATGATAGGTACTGCCACTGTATACTATCAATCCATAATGGAACAAATTTCTCGCCAGTAAGATCACTGAACAGTGCTCGCAGTGTTTATTGGAACATAGCCTATAATGGATTGGTTTGAGACCGCCTCATATGTAATGTGGTTTCGAATTTTTTTATCCTCTTAATGGCATTCTGTTAATTCAAATACAGAACGTTCATGTTTTTTTTTTATATTTAAGAACATTTTTTACTAAAACGACAATGCGCGACACTACGGTAACATAACAGAAAAATAGCGATTTACTAGAATTAGTGTCCGTTCTGTGTTTGAAGTACGATCACAATCACTGATCTCACATCATCTTAGACTTAGACAACATCGAATATATAGATCCACTTTATGAATTCCATTTTTTATCTTGAAAAAACAATGCGGTAAACACTAGTTTTAATAGCTACCCACATTTTTTTTTAAGTAGAGCGGATATAGCCGACTTAACCTAAAAGGTGTATGGCTCTAATAAAGAATTAAAAAAAAGAGCGGTTATAACTAATTCATATTTTATGAACCACCAAGGTAGCTGACCGATGGCACACACGTTTTCCAGAAATTAAAGTCCTGTGCGTTTACAGATTATGAATTATTTCATTATGTAAGAAACTTTAGTAAGTGAGAAAAGTGATTGTTGTAGTATTTTTTTAAATATAGTTTGTAATAATAGATTCTACCGATTCGCTGGTATCCCAGGAGGATATTGCAGCTACGCCCGAACGGGGTTCTGTTCTGCCACCGGTTTCATCTTCGAGAACATTTCCAAATACACCACGTGTAAGGCCCATAATTTTATATAATAATTAATTGCTGTGACAAACAATTTCAGCAATGTCCTTTTGATTTTTGAAATATTTTATTTTGGAAAATAAGGGTTAAGAGCTTACTATAAAAGTGGGTAACTTTAGATTGTGAAATGTATATACAATAAGAACACAATTTCATGAGAATTTAATTTATTATTATTTTATATAATGTTTATATGGCTTTTGAGTATTTTTTACATTTTATACAATTAAATATTTTTATATTATAGAAATTGTTTTTGATTGCTAAGTTCGATTGAATGGCCAGGTGTGACGTATGCTCCCAACGATATGTGGTTTCAAATTATTTTTGACACGCAGTTCTTGATTTTCAAATAGAGACTGTATGTGTGGGATCTCATGGAAATAAAGATGTCCATGGTCTTTAGCCCTTTGTACTGCAGCAACTGCTTCAGACCCCTCTAAAAGGTAAGGATCAAAATTTTCAGATTCTGCAAAAAAAAGGAAATGTTTTTAATTTAGAAAGAGTCAGTTCATTTGTATAAATCCTGATTTCCATTTATTCCTAAAGATGGGTAGGTTTCATTAGGGCCTATTTCGTGTTAATTGCTTCCTGAAATCCATAGATTCGCTGGGGTTTTTTTTATTGACCTTGTAGACCGGCGAGCATACGATGCATCTGATAGCGAGTCGCTCATGGACGTTAGTAATGCCAAGGGTACAGTCAAGCCACTGCCTGTCATTGAGTACTTTCTGCAAACCTCGTTTGAAAAAGGATATGTCATAGCGCTTAGGAAACACTGGAGGGGAGGTCATTCCAAAGCCGATATGGTACGTGGCAAAAAAATCAGAAAACGAACTCTTGTTAAATGGAGTGGTTCTAGGTGGTATAAATAAACTCTGCGCCAGTGGCAGGCAGTGCGATGGTAAAATCGAGATGATGGGAACATCTGCAACAATACCTCAGAGCACTCCCCATGGAACATACGTCCTCCATACGAATATCGAAGGATCTAGTATCAACGCTATTTATTGTCAGATAGCGGAAACACAATACTAGAGATGTGTGGAATATTCTCGATATTTCTAGGGATGTGGTATCGGCTATAAAAGCGTTGCAGAGATGGCACGCAGTCGGTTAGTAATCGGAACTACTCGAAGCGAAATAGCGAACGGATCACCTGAAGCGAAGCGGAAGAAGCGAAAGCGAATTGAGAGTTTTAAAGTGTTTGTTGAGTGTTTTAAGTGTTCTAAGTGTTGAATACAGTTTTTAGTTGTACTTTGGTGGAATTTTATTTATCCAGAACCCCAGCGCGCAGCATTAATATGTTATTTTAAAGAGATATTAAGTGTCATAAGGAGTAAACAACTGCGGTCCAGGCATTGCTGGTTGTTCATGAGCACCAGTGAATACTCAATATCAGCTGTCCGCATACTTGTCAGCTATCAAAGGGAATAAAAATGTACCTAATCTTCTTTTTCACTTCGAGGATGTTTGCAGTGGACCATGTAAGTACGAAACATGTATGCAACATTGTGTTTTATTTCAATATCTCACCGGCGTCGGAACGTCGTCCAATGGTGAAACGGGGTGGTGGAATTGGCGGTAGAAACAGTCCTTCGGGCCATAAAGACTCCGGATCCGGCGAGTCCACTTTATAAGGAGACGGAGGTAATATCGGGATCGAGACTTCTGTTGAAAAGCAATACCTGAGTTCAATTTTACAATTAAGACTTTCGAATGTTTCAATCAGTTGTTTTTCATTTTCATCAATCATTTTTGGGGCTGACTCTTTAAATCGTGGATGGTGATGCGACTATAGTTAACTCAATGTGGTCTAATTTCAATTATTGGTAGTAATAGTAATTACAATTTTACCTCTGTACCCATTTGATTGCCAACGATTGGCGTTGATTGAGCTTCCGCGATCTACCTCTTCGTTACTGAATGGTATAATTGGTTTCGTGTAAGGGTATCCATTGCCACGCGCCGGTAAGATTTGACCTGTAATCGAAGTTAAAATTCCAAGTTATTATCAAAGATTTAAACAGGAGGTAACAACTGTGTACCTGTGGTACCTGCCGATACGGACTGAAAATACGCCCTACCACCAGTTTTAATGGAAAATAGTAAATAATAGTCTTATATAATAGTACAGTAGGAAAATAATAGTATTATTAAAAGTTTTTTTTATTACGTGGTACGAGTGAACGAACTCACGGCGGAACTGGTTTTAAGTTATCGGGATCAATAGGCATCACAAAGTGAATTCCGCCATTTTGAGCTTTGAGGTCTATTTTTTTTTTCATTTACTTCAGATTTTACATTCACATTATATTCATTAACAATAACATTTAGCATAGAATACCAAAATTAAAATGATTAATGACGCAAATTACAATTATTGCGGTGTTCGTGTTTTATTTTCTTACACTGTGTGATTCTTTTATCGTGCAAGTCATTTGTGAACATAAATTAACCATGTATCTACTTCGTTACAAAAATTCCTACTTGCTTGCGGGATTTGAACACCGGCATAGTTGCGTCGCTCGATACGAGTACACCGGGCGTCTTATCCTTTAGGCCACGACGACTTCAAAAACTTATCTGTGTAGGTTTCCCGCCAGTAGTTATTGCTTACGATAGTTACAGTATGAATTTGCTGCTAGTTTTTGTGTAATTTATTATTCTTTATACAGTTAATTAGGGTCCAAATAATTATAATCAATTTACACTTGATACCAACCTCTAGAATTCCCAACAGGAGGTTGAATGGGCCTCCTGTCGTAGACGAACACAGGGTCACCGACCCCGTGCGTAAAGGTGAGTGCCGGAGTGCTTACGCTCACATGCGAGTTAAACTTTGTGCTTGCTGAAATTTGCCTTACAATTAGAAGTAAAATAAAGACGCCACAAAAACAAATCCAAGCAAATCCTTTCCCTGGAGCCTGAAAAAAATACCATAAAATAAATTTATACTTGTAAAATATCTTGTCTTGTAAGATCTCTCTATGGACAATTAGTTATTCTTATAATGGGAAATAATAAAAAAAACTTGTCGAATTTACGTTATCAGTGCAAAGTAATACAAATGCCGTTCTATAATATATTATTCTTTAATCTACTATTGTCTTGGAAAACTTATTTCAAAATGTGCGTTCTATGTTTTAAACGTTAAAAAATTTATTACACAATAAGAAGGTGAAATATCTAAACGTATTTTACACACAAGGTACACATTACACATGCCTCTACACTAAATCCTATTATAAATAAAAGTAGGGCTCTAAGACAATAGAATTGACCACAAATTGCTTCACTCATTACAATCTACACAAGAATATCTGTAAAGTAAATATAAAAGCATTCTTTCTTTACACGTGTACGATGAAATTGACTTTTATTTATTTATTTTATTGTTTAGATGGGTGGACGAGCTCACAGCCCACCTGGTGTAAAGTGGTTACTGGAGCTCTCGACATCTACAACGTAATTGCACCACCCACCTTGAGATATAAGTTCTAAGGTCTCAGTATAGTTACAACGGCTGCCCCACCCTTCAAACCGAAACGCATTACTGCTTCACGGTAGAAATAGGCAGGGTGGTGGTACCAAGCCGCGCTGACTCACGAGAGGTCCTACCACCAGTAATTACGCAAATTATAATTTTGCGGGTTTGATTTTTATTACACGATGTTATTCCTTCACCGTGGAAGTCAATCGTGAACATTTGCTAAGTACGTATTTCATTATAAAAATTGGTACCCGCCTGCGGGATTCGAACACCGGTGCATCGCTACACATGAATGCATCGGACGTCTTATCCTTAGGCCATGACGACTTTGCCTGACTTTGAAAAAAAATCATGGAATTATATTAAATTTTACCCATTTCTCCTTTGTTGTCATCCAATTACCAAAATTACCAAAAATGCGTACCTACTTCTGATGACAACATAATGATATCCTCCTATCGATCTAGATTGATGATTAATGTAGAAGAGTCTTATTGGATCTCTTGGTTGACTACTATTATAGTAAAATTCATCGAGTTAAGGTTGGCATGTCTTATTAGATTTGTCTGGCGTATTTAAATTCACAAAATGTTATTTGTTTTACAACTACATACCTTCTAATATTTAATTATGCTTTATGGAAGGATAAGAGAAGTCGTAGGAGCGCATATGATACAATTATTGACGCAATGTAGGTATGGCTTGCGTGTAATAAATAGAAGGTTCATCCTTGACGTAAAATTGGTAGAGATCCTCATCACATAAAAGTATTGTTGATCACCATTTTTTTGGTCAGATGCTCTTGGTATTGCCACTTTCTCATTCAAGTGCTTTTTTCGGAAATATTTAGTCGTAATGTCTCGTTGTTGATGCCATGACCGAACATTTAGCATCAGTTGGGTCTTTAGTCCGTTTCAAAAGCAAAAATTAAAGTATTTATTTTGTTGATAAATCCATTTTGTTTCGTCTTGAATGCAATCACATTGGTAGAAAGGATTATAAAATAGGTGAAGTGACAGGAGTTTGTGCGGGCAGATATAGTGTTGAATAAACAACGCTGTAAGTTAAAAGCTACTGTGTCCATTTATTTGTCGACGTTCTCTCGCGCAGTCTCGGTTACGAAACTTAATGTAGCCTCTCAACTCATTACAATTGGATGTATAATACTAAGCTCAGATATAATTCTAAGTTTATAGTCTTTTAAATTGATCACAAGAACGATCCTTGCATGATTAGTGCTTTTAGTACTTATTACAAAATAACTAAAATCAAGATATAAATGGAAAGGGAAAAAAGATGAATCAGGATGGTGATTTTGCATTTCCATAGCTAACTGTTGAGCTGGAATATTGCATCTTTTGGAACGTCATACATCACGCAGCAGCAGACACTTATTGAAAGACTCAAAAAAATATTAAATAGGTCAGATACTAATGTGTTAGGTTTTTATGTTACTAACACAGATTATAAGTTATATCAACAAAATGTATGGTTTTTTACTGAAATAAAGATAAAAAATAACACAACTTCAGACATAGACATTGTTTTCTTGCTGATATTGGAACCAAGAAAGTTTAGGTGGTTCGTAATGAGCAATATTATTCTACGCACTAAACTAAATGGTTACAGGATTTGTGTGTGCTCTCTTAGGAGCTTGCTCTTGAGAAACTTACAGAAACTTCACTTTGATTTCCCGGAATGAGTACTGGAGTAAAGGACTATTTTATTTAAGGCTTCGACTACGCAGTAAACACTAAAAACTTACTTTTTAAGCAAAGTACACAAAAACAAACAATGTCGTATATAAACTGTTGTGTTAAATCTCTAAATGATAATTATGTATAAAGTCGCTGGTTGACTGTCTGGCCTGTATCAGCACATATTTCTTGTAAGACACGTTACCAATTTTTATACGATTTTCACTAATAAAAGAGCGATAAACTAGGAAGGAAGGTTTGTGTATTGAAATGTTCAAATATTTTGTCCAAAATATGACAGTATTATGTCATAAAAGGTTAAGTTTACGCTGGCGAAGTCTTTAAAAAAAAAGGTATTCCACGCGGGTGAAGATACGAAAAGTTTTCAACTTTATAACATAATGGTGTGGATATTAATCAATAAGGGCAATACAAGCAAAATTCTGCTCTTCCCGTATCGCAATTGAACACGTTTTTGCGCATTAATCTATATTCAATTCAATTGTGTAGTATACCTATATTAAATTAGATTATCGGTCATTCCCTTGTTCTACTTTCTAAAGATGCAAAAAATTCAATGACAAGTGACTGCGGTTTCGAAACACGTACATATGTACCTGACCGTGGCCTTGTACATAACTAATGGATCTCATAACGATTTAAACTATAAAGAAGACTTGTGAAGGTGAAGTCGGAGTTATTACAATACTGTAATTTCGAAGACAATGCATAAGAAACACAGATCCGGAGCGTTGAATGAAATTGTTAGATTAAAATCGTTATAAAAACGGCGCAAGTATTCGCGGTATGAGATCAAGAAAACATTAACTTATTTTTGTGTTTAATTATCGAATATAAATTTACGGCTATACTCAGTATCCGCTAAGCATTGAATTGGCTGTACCCGTCATAGTTAATGGCATTCGTTTACAACTTAAATAAAATAGTAAAACAGTTTCTTATAAACAAAATAGTATCTTTTATTACGTAAAAAAATACGATTACGTTTGTTTAGTGTTACAAAAGTCAGTTCTCATTATCAAGTCATTCAGTACCATTCAACTCTGCTTCGTCGGTGATGTTAAATCATTTCATTGCTTCAATAAAGCGGATCTGCCAACGAATTTGTCACGAGCTTATGACTGCTGTTAGAATGATCACATTTGTTCCGTTGACTTATCAAGGTCTGGTATGTTTGCCGCATCACGAACTCACGTTAAGTAAGAGCAAGTGAATAAATATATTCCGTACGATCTTGGTTGACTCATTAATAGAATGTATCAATGATGATATGTACAGACCCTTTGTGTATAGAACGGGTGTAAATAATACATTCGCGAAGTCGACGCTCTAGATACGCCTTAACGGATCCTTCTCATCGACTGTTTTCCCTATTTATTTGGTGGTAGCGTAAGGGGCTATTCCAGTTTCTCGCGGAAGGGTAGGTGAGCTTATGGACTCAACCTGAGAGAATTTACTAACCCTAGCCCTAGCAAGAGCAGTGCTTCGCAGGATCTACCACCGCATCGGATTCGTGACTCGCTGGGAAGATCCGGCGAGAAACTCAGTCTGCGCTGTGTGTATGGGATTGACTGTCAGTGCTATTAAAAGCTACTGGCCGCAGCAACCAAAGCCACCAAAGCACAGGTGTACGTCGAACCTTGCGGCGATTTGACGTATATATATACCTATATATATCTAACTATACTGAGACCTTAGAACTTATGTCTCAAGGTGTGTGGCGCATTTACGTTGTAGATGTCTATGGGTTCCAGTAACCACTTAACACCAGGTGGGCTGTGAGCTCGTCCACATATCTAGACAATAAAAAAATTAATATATATTGTTATCGAGCAACACTGTTATTCTTATAATATAATTAGTAATTTCATAATCAAGTAAATAGTTCATTCATATTTCTTTATACTTATAATATTTTATTGGCGCCTTCCGCTTGACAGCTTCCGGCGCAATAAGTCTTAATGTTATTTGTTACATAATTCGATATTATTAAATAATAATTGTACGTAAATAATCAGCAGAATAGTTAAGATGAACAATGTTTAATATTACCTACTCAGTTTGTATTAAAATAGGTCAAGATGATTGTATAAATACCGACGGTTAGCATATCTCTGTTGCATTCGTATTCTACCCACCATAACGTGTACTAAAGAGAATATATTATTTCGTGTGGATGTAAATTGTCTCAATTGTCGCCGCCACCCTGAGGATTCGTTTATANCAGCAGAATAGTTAAGATGAACAATGTTTAATATTACCTACTCAGTTTGTATTAAAATAGGTCAAGATGATTGTATAAATACCGACGGTTAGCATATCTCTGTTGCATTCGTATTCTACCCACCATAACGTGTACTAAAGAGAATATATTATTTCGTGTGGATGTAAATTGTCTCAATTGTCGCCGCCACCCTGAGGATTCGTTTATAATATATACTTTAGTCTATAACATTCACCCGCTGAGTTTTCGGATCCGGAGGGAGAGACTATCAAAGCAGTTCTCCTTGAGCTGTTAGGCTTCTTCTGGAGGCGCTTGGTCAGTTGATAGCAAACCTTTACCTGCTGGCTGGCTCTCCAGTTCGTCTGTACGTCCTCGTTAAGCGGCAAGTTTTCTAGAGAAATAAAGATCCTTTCGTCTCAAAAACTAAATCAATATATGAATAAAGACCCAGTTGCAATAGACGCTAACAAAAGCGGCAACCTAAGCCGTTTT